CTTGTCTTGGTCATCAGCGTAGTCCCGGGTCGTTGGAGAGGCTGAGCAGAGAATAAAAGTAAAGCTATCAATCGATTATCATGTTAACGAGAAAATGTATCAGAAAATAGTCGATTTTACAACTGTGAAAACAACAATTCGATCAGTCAATGTTAGGTAGACGGGTGCAGAAGGAACATATATATGCGAGACCAGTACGCCGTGATGTAACTCCTTCGCACCTTCTCAGTCTATATCCACACCTTAAAAATCCGGCTGTCTTTACGTCATAAAACCACGTGACATACCACCCAGCGACAGCCTGACGTAAACTGATTACAATACTTCTAAAATAACCCTCACATTTCTCCATACCACATGTATTTCGTGATACCTTGGTCATGACACACAATCAGAGCCACAGCGTTGTCCCCTGACTTCTGCCTGACTTTGAACATATTCAACAAATTTGGATATTTTGGGCATATGATCAACTAATTACTATGTGGTGCTTTGATATAGGACTGTGATAATGACAAATGATTGTAATAGTGGCTAATAAAATTTTATATGAGTAATCATATTTGAATTATATTATTCTATACAGATTGGATCAATAATGAGATACCGTATTTATATTTTTAATTCTACTTCCCGAACTGCAGTGCGTTGAACGATGTTTTCAGATTAAATCACTTTTGAGGTTATCACCAAAAACTTCTTCTACATTGTTTGCAGATCATTAACCTTTCAATGAAAGAATGAAAGGATATCACGTTTAGCACTTAACGTTGATAATGATAACGCAATTATTACAGACCTCGACACCGTGCCAATGTTTTATCTTGCGTCAACGCCTTGTTTTATCATCAATAAAATGAAACTATTTTGCATCATATTTTTGCTTCACAGTTCACTTAATCTTGCTAAATCAATTCTTATAAAATAAAGCAAGTCTATATGGTAGAAGCATGGAAAAGAAGATGATATCAAGTTCTGTCATTTTGCTAAAATGAGACAAAATAATACAATTACAATTCAAAGACCATATTGATACGCAGACATTTCAACGACACACGAGGCTGTGACTAAATTGTTCAAAGTATATAAAAAATATAAAACCTACAATATGTTCTCCTGTAGCCAGCTCTCCCTTTCAACAACCCCAGAACCGTTACATTTCTGACTGCCCCTGTTCCAACCCTTCAAAACACGAAATGAAAGAAGCCTTCGGGTAGCCAACAAGGGGGAAACTTCTCCAAGTTCCCCATCCAAACCCGTCCTACAAAGTCGAGGAAAATGATGTCAATTCGACATAAAGTACTTGCGGATGTGCCACAGTGACGTGCACTTTGTCCTGTAATGATTCGAGGTGAGTTGGTACCTATAATCGTGTAAAGAGAGTATACGCTATATTCTTTCTTAATATTGTCTGCTCAGCTCCGATTTACAATTTCTGCTGTTTAATTTCGAAATTAATGCGAATGAAATTAAATACAGGGTGATGCAGAAAGAATATCGGGATTTTAAATATTCGTCTCTAAAGCTGAAACGTAAATCACTTATATAATCTTCTAATCTATGCGACCTCCAGCCGATGTACCCGAATAGTACCAGGGCACGAGCTAGTGGGAGTGGTAACGGAGGTGGGAGGTAACGTGTCCAGAGTGGGTGTAGGGTCTCTGGTGGCAGTGGGGTGCACTATAGACTGCTGTATGGAGTGTGACATGTGTGATAACGGCGAGGAGAACTACTGCAGGAAGGGTTAGTTCAGATTTCAGAAGAAACCTTTCAAAAACTCTTAAGCTGCAAAATTGGTTTTAAGCTGATCAACTTTGTTAATTGTCTTGAAAATGGAAAAAGATTCCAACGTTTATAAGTTTTGCGGCACAAAGATTGAATACATATTGTTGATTGAACACGTGATTCAGGAGGACACACCCACACATACAACTCCAACAAGACACACGGACACATCGGAGGAAACCAGGAGACCCAGAACTTTGGAGGTATTCTAAAAGTGAGGATGTTCCCGACGATTCCTTGTAAAACTACCTGAGACACTCCCGATCTCCTAAAGTGCACTTTGGTTCTTCTGTTCAATGTCAATCTTACATTCTTTCATTTTTTCATCCCGTACTTTGATATATTCGTTACATTTATACGAATATAAATTTGGTTAAAAGCGAGAATACTCAATTTGACCAAAACCCATTAATTGGGTAGAGTGGGACCGCTGCAGTGTCTCTCTTCCAATCAAAAAAGTAAATGATAAATTTTTGAAATACTGCCGTAAATGCAAAATGAATACCCGAAATGAAAAATGGTCGCATCGCTCTCCCATTCAACGCGGCTTAACGAATTGTAATATGTTTTCGAATATTACATCGATCACACATGCTGTCAAAATCTCTTTGGGTTGCTATTTCGGGTCGAGATCCATATTTCGGATAAGGGCTTAGTTTAGTGTACAATCAGCTGATTTATATGAATCGTTATTGCCGATTATACAGCTTCTTTTCGGGTAACTAGTCCAATCTATCACAATTGTAAATGAATGGGAAATGAGCGATCCAATTTTCCTTCTTTCTCTCGTATCATTTTGCATTTACGACGTCATTCAAATTAATATCATTTACTTTTGGATTGGAAAGAGAGACACTGGCAGGCAGTCGGTCTACTCTACCCAATTATGGGTTTTGGTCAAATTTATCATCTATTTTGCTTAAAAATTAAGGTCAGGTCTACAAAGTGAGGTCTACAAAATGGAAATGTTAAACTGAAACTATTTATAAGAAAAGTAATTTCAAACGATTCCAAATTTTACCTTTGAAACATTTCCTTGTGTATAGGTAAGCATATCTGTCGATCACTGTATGAATATGCCACTTTAAATCCCCCTCATTCATTTTGGCATTAAATCCAAAATAATGCCCTTTAACGTCTGGGAAAGCAAATCTAATCGAAATCCACGAATGAGCAAATACCCACCTCGCACAGCAAACTTTGAGCGACGTTACAATGCGATCCCAATATGAATCACCGCAAATATTTACACATCGGTAATTTATGTATATAGTTCGTACTTCGTATATAATTTTTTGTGCGTAAAGTGCGTTTCGGTTGTTTAAAAACATTTAGAGCGCACGAACCCCAACTTATAATCTTCATCGCAATCTGTTGTAAAACAGGGTTCCAGAAAACCCATTTCCCGATACACCTGTCGTCCTGAAACTTGAAACTATTTTTTACTTCGATTTGTCACATCGAGACTCCTGCAAAAATTTCAATCTCTAACTCAATTTTAACAGTCTTTTAAGCACCTGATATATCAATATATGGCATTTTTGGATTGTTTTACCCAAGTTCGTATAAACATGCCTGCGGCGCGGACTTTTGCGCAATTTCTTATAAACCTCCACTAAAATATTTTTAGTCCTGTCATCTTTGACAATGGGATTAGAATTTTTTTGAACTTAAAATACCTGCTGAACTACTTTCGGTGAGTCATAATGCCTGAAAAACAGTAAAGGGGTATAACAGTATAGGGGTAAATAGTATAGATAGTATTTATATTATTATAATTGCAACGGCCATGCTTGTCAGCAGTCAGCATTGTGATGATAAAAACTTTCAGAAATAACATAATTTGGAATTTGATTCTTCAAAATTTAATTGAAATAACAAAATCTTTTGAAGGTGTGTGCTGGCATAACAATGTGGGATCCCCTGAGATTACTATGGAGCTACAAAGGGAGATAAGAAGATGAAGATAGGAATAGTAGGGATCGGTGGACTAGGCACTATGGAATCAAGTTAGCATCAACTCTAGACAGGAAGTGTAGCGTATCCAGCCGTGACAAGAAAGTGGAGCTACAAAAGAAAAGGACACTACACTACTACACCTCCATCCCGCCTCCATCAACTCACAAACAACCACTGGATCCTCATTCTTAACACAGTCAGTGCCTCCACAAATCTCATGACTTATCTCGGTCTTCTTTCTACAAACGGAACCTTGGTACAACTGTGGCTGTAGCTGCTCCCTTTCCGTTCTATCAGTTTTCCTCCTCTCCTTGCTCCAGCGGAAATCTAATTGCTGGTCTATGGTTGGGGGGTATGGAAGTCACTCAGCCGTGCGTGATTTCTGTGTGGAGGAAGGATAATACCCTGAATTTGAGAGTGTTGAATGCTAGCAAGGTAGATGAGATCTTTCATTAACCTTTCAAAAAGCAACGCTGGTGGTTTTGATACGTCCAAGACATTGAAGCTATTTTTTTAACCTGAACTCTAAAACTTTTATGGACACATTCGATTTTAAAATTTTAAGTGGCCCCTCATTCTGTGAAAATAAATTAATGTAAAGTAACGAAACTTTTGAGAGTTTAATACTTTTCGAGTTATAATAAGACTTCTTTTAAAGGCACTATTATTGTAGGATGCTCAATTTGTCCGATGCATCGTAACATCGAAGCAATTATACATAGATTTTTCACAAGTTTAATTTCATATCGTAATAACTTACTCCTTGACAAAATTCATCAACATTTTCATTTTTATCTGGAATTTTTTATTAATCCAAAGTCAATAAATCTTGCAACATTTATTCTACGAGCCATACTTCAAATTACAACATTTTATTCCCCAATAGTATTACGATGCTCTGATAGACCGCCGCCGGCCTTCTCGTCACTACTTAATATAAATGTTAAAACACAATTGATCCATAACTTAATGATGGGGTCCACTAGAGTTATATGGAGTAGATAACAATTGTCTCAAATCCGAAACCCATAATTCTTATCTACTCCATATAACTCTCGTTGGACCCCATCATTAAAGTTATGACAATTGTGTTGTGAACATTTATAATTAAGTAGTGACGAGAAGGCCCGGCGGGCGGTCTCATTCAGGCATCATAATACTAATTGGGGAATAAAATGTTGTATTTGAAGTATGCTCGTCCGAATAAATGTTGCAAGAATTAATTACTTTTATTGATGAATAAAAAAACCCAGATCAAATGAAATGTTGAATTTATGTCAAGATAGTTATATTACGATATGAAAATTAAACTGTGAAAAATCTATGTTATTAATTCTTCGATAGTACGATGCATCGGAAAAAATGACATCCTACAATAATAGTTAGCCTTTAAAAAAAGGATTTTAATATACACGCGAAAATTAAACTCTCAAAAATTCATTCGTTACTTTACATTAATTTTTATTTCACAGAATGAGGCCACTAAAAACTTTTTAAATCGAATGTGATCCATAAAAGTTTTTAAGAGTTCAGTTAAAAAATAGCTTCAATTTCTGGACGTACTCAAACCACCCCAGCGTTTTGCTTAGAAAGGTTAATGAAAATCTCATCTACCTGCTACATCAACAATCTCAATATCAGGTAAATATCCTTCTCCACACAGAAATCATCGCTCTCCTGACGTGACTTCAATACCCCCAACCATAGACCCACAATAGATATCCGCTGAGCATTGGGAGAAAATGATAGAACTGCAAGGGAGCAGCTACAGCACCAAGTTTTACCAAGGTTCCGTTAGTAAAAGGAAGACCGTAGATAAGTCCATGAGATTATGAGGAGCCTGACAGTGTTAAGAATAGATCCATGAGTTGTTGTGTGAGTTGATGGAGGCGGGACTGAGGTTCCACGTAGTGTAGTGCTCTTTTCTTTTGCGAGCACCACTTTCTTGTCACGCTGGATACCGCTACCACATCATGTCTAGAGTTGATGCTAACTGATTCCCATAGTGCAAGTCCACCGATCCCCTACTATTCCCTCCTCATCTTCTTATCTCCCCCTTTGGTAAGCTCATAGTATCTCAGGGATCCCACATTGTTATGCCAGCCACACAACCTTCAAAACAGATTTTGTTATTTCAATTAAATTTTGAAGAATCAAATTCCAAATTATGTTTATTTCTGAAAGTTTTTTATCATCACAATGCGACATGTTGACAAGCATGTCCCGTTGCAATTAAATAATATAAATACTATCTATACTATTACCCATATACAGTTAATACCCCTTTACTGTTTTTCAGGCATTATACTCACCGAAAGTAGTTTCAGCAGGCATATTTTAAGTTCAAAAAATTCTAATCCAATGTCAAAGATGACAGGAATAAAAATATTTTAGTGGAGGTTTATAAGAAATTTGCGCAAAATACGCGCCGCAGCACTGTTATACGAAATTGGGTAAAAAAATCCAAATCGCCATATATTGATATTCAGTGCCTTAAAAACATGTAAAATTAGTTAGAATCTTGAAATTTTGCAGGACGTCTAGATGTTGACCAAATCGACTGTAAAAATAGTTTCAAGTTTCAGGACGACAGGTGTATCGGGAAATGGGTTTTCTGGAACCCCTGTTTTACAACAGATTGGCGTGAAGCATATAAGTTGGTTCGTGCGCTCTAAATGTACTTTTAAAACCGAACGCACTTTACGCACAAAAAATTATATACGAAGTACGAACTATAATACATAAAATACCGATGTGTAAAAATTTGCGGTGATTCAATATTGGATCCGCATGTAACGTCCCGCTAAAGTTTGCTCAGCGAAAGTGGGTTTTTTGCTCAGTCGTGATTTCGATTAGATTCTGCTTGTCCCCACGACAGTTAAATGGCATTATAATATAATTTAATGCCAAATTGAATGAGATGTAAGTGGCATATCATACATTGATCGACAGATATGCTTACTTAAACACAAGGAAAATGTTTTTTCAAAGGTAAAATTTCTAAACTTGAAATTACCCTCCCTTATTATAAATGAATTATCAGTTTAACATTCCATTTTGTAGACCCTCACTTTTGTAGCCCCTGACATTAATTTTTAATCAAAAATAGATGATATTTGACCAAAACCCATAATTGGGTAGAGTAGACCGCTGCCACTGCCAGTGTCTCTCTTTCCCAATCAAAAGTAAATGATATTAATTTGAATGACCGTCCGTAAATCAAAATGATACGAAATAAATTGGTCCTCACTTTTCCCATTCATTTACAATTGTGATAGATTGAGAATAGTTACCCGAAAGCAGCTGTATACTCGGCAATAACGATTCAATAAACATCAGCTGATTGTACACTAACTACAGCCCTTATCCCGAAATACTGGATATCGACCCGAAATAGCAACCCAAAAGAGAGTTTTGACAGCATGTGTGATTGATGTAATTATTCGAAAATTATACAATTCGTAAGCCGCGTAAATAATGAAAAGCGAGCGACCAATTTCATTCTCGTATCATTTTGCCTTTAAGGACAGTCAATCAAATAATATCAGTTACTTGTGATTGGGAAAGAGACACGAGCAGCGGTCCACTCTACCCAATTATGGGTTTTGGTCAAATTGAGATATCTCGATTTTCAACCAAACATTCTTCATATTCGTATAAATGCTAACGAATATATCAAAGTACGGGATGAAAAAATGAAAAGAATGTAAGATGAAAATCTGAACAGAACGAACCAAAGGTGCTACTTTAGCGAGATCGGGAGTGTCATCAGGTAGTTTTACAATGAATCGCTCGTGAACAACCTCACTTTTAGAATACCCTCCAAAGTTCTGGGTCTCCTGGTTTCCTCCGATGTGTCCGTGTGTCTTGTTTGGAGTGATGTGTGGGTTGTCCTCCTGAATCACTGTCAATCAACAGATATGTATTCAATCTTTGTGCCGCAAACTTTATAAACGTTGGAATCTTTTCCATATTTCAAGACAATTAACAAGTTTGATCAGCTTAAAACATTTTGCAGCTTAAGATGTTTGAAAGGTTTCTTCTGAAATCTAACTACCCTTCCTGCAGTAGTTTCTCCTCGCCCGTATCACACATGTCCACACTACTCCATTACAGCATCTATAGTGCACCCCACTGCCACCAGAGACCCTACACTCCTCTGGACACGTTACCTCCACCTCCGTTACCACTCCCACTAGCTCGTGCCCTGGTACTATCGGGTACATCGCGCCTGGAGGTCGCATAGATTAGAAGATTATATAAGTGATTTACGTTTCAGCTTTAGAGACGAATATTTAAAATCCCGATATTCTTTCTGCATCACCCTGTATATAATTTCATTCGCATTAATTTCGAAATTAAACAGAAGAAATTGTAAAATCGGAGCTGAGCAGACAATATTAAGAAAGAAATATAGAAGTATACTCCTCATTACACTATTATAGGTACCAACTCACCTCCGAAATCATTACAGACAAAGTGCACGTCACTGTGGCACATCCCGCAGTACTTTATGTCGAACTTGACATCATTGTCCCCGACTTTAGGACGGTTGATGGTGAACTTGGAGAAGTTCTCCCCCATGTTGGCTACCCCGAAGGCTTGCTCTTCATATTCGTTGTCTTGACAGGGTGGGACAGGGGCAGAAATGTAAACGTCTGGGTTGTTGAACGGGAGAGACATGGCTACAGGAGAACATATTGTAGGTTTTATATTTTATTACTTTTGAACAATTTTAGTCACAGCCTCGCTGGTCGTTGAAATGTCTGCAGTATCAATACTGGTCTTTGAATTGTAATTGTATTATTTTGTCTCATTTTAGCAAAATGACAGAAACTTGATACATCATCTTCTTTTTCCATGCCAACTACCAATCTAGACTTGCTTTATTTTATAAGAATTGATTTAGCAAGATTAAGTGAACTGTGAAGCAAAATATGATGCAAATAGTTTTCATTTTATTGATGATAAAACAAGGCGTTGACGCAAGATAAAACATTGGCACGGTGTCGAGGTCTGTAAAATTGCGTTATCATTATCAACGTTAAGTGCTAACGGATATCCTTCATTCTTTCATTGAAAGTTAATGATCTGCAAACAATGTAGAAGAAGTTTTTGGTGATAACCTCAAAAGTGATTTAATCTGAAAACATCGTTCAACGCACTGCATTTCGGGAATTAAATTAAAAATATAAATACGGTATCTCATTATTGATCCAATCTGTATAGAATAATATAATTCAAATATTGATTACTCATATAAAATTTTATTAAGCACTATTACAATCCATTTGTCATTATCACAGTCCTACTATCAAAGCACACAATAGTATTAAGTTGATCATATGCCCAAAATATCCAAATTTGTTGAATATGTTCAAAGTCAGGCAGAAGTCAGGGGACAACGCTGTCGGCTCTGATTGTGTGTCATGACCAAGGTATCACGAAATACATGTGGTATGGGAGAAATGTGAGGGTTATTTTAGAATATTGTAAATCAGTTTACGTCCAGGGCTGGGGGGGGGTTTTTTTTTTTTTTCCCCGGGGGCCCCCCTGGGTGTATGTCCGTGGTTTTTATGAGTAAAAGACAGCCTGATTTTTAAGGTGTGATATAGACTGAGAAGGTGCGAAGGAGTTACATCACGGCGTACTGGTCTCGCATATATATGTTCCTTCTGCACCGTCTACCTTACATTTGACTGATCGAATTGATTGTTTCACAGTTGTAAACTCGACTATTTTTTCTGCTACCATTATTCTCGTTAACATGACTATTCGATTGATAGCTTTACTTTTATCCCTCTCTGCCTCTGCCCTCTCCAACGACCCGGACTACGCTGATGACCAAGAACAAGCCTGCTCTTTCGGAGGAATGAAATACCTTTGTGAAAAACTACGAATCTGCTCCAAGTTTCGGATTGATAGATGAAGACGCAAAGAATGTCCTTTGTGGAGCATATCTTGATGAGCTTAACTTCAGTCCTAGTGGGGGTCCCAGTCCTATCTTCACCCCTGAAACTAGATTTCAGAATGAGCAACCCAAACAGGATACTGAAAGTCCCAGCCCCGTCTACACCCCTGAAATTAGTTTTCAGACTGAAGGACCCTCGCTGGAAACAGGGTTCCCCACAACTCGTTATCCTCTACTTAGTTTAACGGTGTACCACCGAGATTCCCATCGCATCACCTCAGACTACCAGTCTCTTGAGGTATTCTCCACTTTCTTTTACACTGCAGAAGCAGAAGTTGACCCACTGTGACCCTGAAGTAGTGACACAGCCCCCAGTTCAAACTAATAGCTCAGTCAATATTACTGTTGCTCCTGGTGAATCTGCCGATTTGACTATAAGCTAAGCTGCCAGACTCCCCAAATACCCTTACAAAAGACCAGCTCTCCAGACCTAACCTGAAATCCTTCATGCATTTCAGCAGCGGCAATCAGTCAACGACCGTCAACTCCATGACTAAAAAAAATATCAACAACGTGACGAGCCTATTGAAGGTTGGTACACTGTCTAGCCTGCAACAGATACGGGTTGTGATGAACAGGACCCTACCTGACATACTGGATCTGTGTGAGGGAGTGACCTGCCCTGGAGAAAAGCAGTGTGTCGGGGACTACGCTGTTGGACACGGTTACACTTGCGAATGTCCGTCCTTCTGCGACAGAACGGGACTAGTTTCGTCAGTGAACTTTGGTCTGGCTCTAACTATTGTGAGGAACAATCAACGAGTGCCTATGAAGGAAGATGCCTGCAGGAACGACAAATTCGGAATAGAAGTCTTGAACAAAGGAAGGTGTGGCCAGATCGAGCACCCAGAAATCCTGGAAGAGAAATTTACTTATGGAACTTTTAGACTGGAAGCTGGTGATGAATGTTTCCGGGTGTAATGCTATAGATTTCCCAGAGCCTCAAATTGTCTGGTACCGAGACGCGGAGATTGTTTGACATGGTACTACTTGAAAAAGTCCGTATCTGTTGCTGAGGGGACAGTATACTTGTGAGGCTGTGAACCTGCATGACCACCAAAGTCAGTAAAATATTAGCTGCTGTCGAAGTCACTGGTACACCGGACGACATCCATGTGGATGCTCCCAGAGCAACTTGTGCGGTAAGTTTGTAGCCTAAGTTTAATTATCTAAAATTAGCAGACTGGTATTTTATTATGATTTTACTTAAATTAATTAAAAATATATTCGTATAAAATCGAAAAGTTTACTGTTTTCCGAATAAAAGCCAATTTGGTTTCTTAAATTTTCAATCATCTGACGTATCCCAACTTTTAGCAGGTATAACGGAGATCCCCACTTTCCTAACCTACGACCAAGCGCTTACACCTACATGGGACTGTGTATAAGTCCCTAGCTATGGATTGTTGAGCTGCAAGCTGGTTTCCGGTACGGAAGAATAGCCTGTGGAAATACGGGGTTCAGTTTGAGGTCTGTCCACTTCTTTGTAGCAACGATGTTCTCGAGCTCCAAGAGATGGTTGGTGAACAGAAACGGAAAGAACGTGTCACAAGGACATTAAAAATAAAGAGAATCTCGGGAAAGAAAACAACAAACTTCACCCTCCTGTTTGACGGAGCTATGCTCACTTTAACACTACCCGCCACACCAAGAAAGACTGGACCAGAACCTTCGAACATGACAAGATCGGTGTCCCGGTGGATGGCTTCGTCTCTGTTCAGATCCATACCCCATGACACCAAAACTTTGGAATGTGTTGCAACAACGACGGCCGATCTGATAACGACATGAGGACTCGACGCGGCAAAATGACGGACAACGTAATTTGTTCGGAATACTGGCAAGATAAACCCTTCGGGAAGATGGTCCTAAAACTCAGAAAGCAAAGAACTCTAGAGGTGTGCGGAGAAGTACCAGGAAGTAAAGACGGAGTGAGAGCGGTTTTCAGTAATCACCAATTCAGGTATGTATCACAGCTGGGCACGACACTGCCCATAGATAACAGCTGTGTCGACACAGTGCGAGGACCTTTCTGCAGAAAGAGAGCGGCCCCTAAATGGGTGGTGCTCAAGCTTACGCTACAACAGTGCGGTAACCCGTTCTGAAGGTGACCCTGTCCCGAAGAAACAACAACGATGTCACCAACTGGGAGATGGAAGCTGGATGTCCTGATGAGAGTAAAAGGTTCCAACCCATTCTGAACACTGGATGTCCCCAACCTACCCTCGAGGAGGAACTTACTGGAAGCTTCTAAACCGAATTAGAACTAAACTGACTTTTTATATAGTTAACCAATTATTATAGAATTTTGAACGTTAATTTTTTGACATCGTCGACGATATTTGAAACCATTTTTATTTTTTAATCTTTTGCCGTTTTTATTTATTTTTGTAATTTGGTATTTAACATTATTTGCGTTTTTCGGTTTTCTAAGAAAATTGATTATGTAACTATCCGGACGGGTATTTATGATTATGTATGTTCCTTGCATCATTTATTGAACCATAACTAACTCCTTGTTTTCCATAGAATAAGTTAAAAACTATTATTTCCTGAAAGCTACATTTTGGCACTTCAATCATACCAAGAAAAATTTACTAAATTAAAAGCAAACATTAAGCATGTAATAAGGTATGAAGGAACGATCGGGAAATAAATTAATAAGATGTTAGTTGAGAGGCGTCATCGAGTATTCAGCATCAATTCTCTTTGTGCAGTAAAGCAATCGTAATACATATTAAAGTGGCTGAGATAATGAGCGGACAATACAATAAAACACTGAAATAGGAAAGTAGGAAATATAGTTATACTTACTCACAGGTTTAAAAGAATGAAACTAATCGAGTTAAAAACAAAGCTTTAAAGAATGACATACAATAAGAGAATAAGGTTTAGTATTTGAACAGTTATAGTAGTAGTAATTATAGTAGTACTAGTACTAGTAGTAGGAACACATTCCTAACCAAGTTAACTGTTCTCTTACACATAAATCTGAATTTAACATTGAATATTTTTCATAAAATATTTTGGAGAAAATTAGACCTAGCCTTGAATTCAATTAGGGGGAAGAAAGGATATATTCAGGTACCGCACAAATATGTATAAATGATGTAGATATTACACGGACACTAGAAGCTAGCGCAGCTAGGAAGAGGCTCGTATACCACTAAAATACACTATATACTGAAACTATATCTGTATGTAATATTCTGTACAAGAGCATACTAACATCCTGTCAAGCCACACTTCCAATTTTATCTGAATAATATAAGAGTATAGCCTATATTAATGTATATAAGGTATTATATAAGTAGAAGTTCCCTGTAGTAGACGTTACATACACTCCAACCAAAATAGCCAATTAGAAGAGTTGACGCTAAGCGGAAAATCAAAATGAATTTGTGCCTTAATATATCCTGCTTTCTTTGACAATCTAATATGTTGAAGATCCAATGTTTGTCCTTGTTGACTTGATCAGGAGCAGCTATTGTGTAAACATAAGAAGGTTGGTTTTATAGTTAATAAACAATTGTAGCCGTTTCATGTGTCATTAGGATAAGACACTTTTGATATGTGTTTTTGGTTGCACTTCAAATTGGAACCCAAATTGAGTCAGGAAAAACTGGACAATGGATTGAAGTACACATAAAAACGAGGATAGGGTTATTTCAGGTCCAATATGTAAACTGTCGACGTTACGAACCGAAGTATA